CTTGTCATCCATGGTCTGAGAAGTACCTGGAATTCGAAGAGAAAATCAGAGAGAATGAAGGATTAACAGCTACAGAGCAGCAATCAACAACAATTTTTAACCAGTTTCAAGCCCAGAAAGTGAATAAAACAGCCCAGAAAAAACAGTTTCAAACCAAGTAATGAACCAGAAAACTTGAACCACACTTTATTTTAATTCATTTCAACTATCAGCTACCCAGAAATTGTTTCAGCACTAGGAGGAACTTCAAAAAATCACCAACAGAGCTCAATGAAATAGTGTTTGTTCTAGAATTTTCAGCTGTTTAGGATTTTCAGAATTTCTTAGCTCTCCAAAATCTAAAAAAAAATCCCTCTGGAACCCCGAGTAACTATGCCTTTATAGGCAAGTTACTGGGCAGCCTTAAGGGTTCAATTTTTTTTCATTTTAGTCCTTTTCCTATTTTCCTTTTTGTTGCTTAGCCCTTCATTTACTGACTTGTTGGTCAAGTAAGTATATCATGCAGCTTCTGGGAAGCTTCCTAGGCAGTTACCAACAAATTCCCTACCCCTATTTCCCCAAATTACCCCTTTAGAGCCCTGTTTTTGCTGCAGCATACCACATGGGTCAAGTTGACCCAAGGCTCAAACCACGACGAACGGGCTTTCTTTAAAAATGGGTCAGAAATGACCCCAAGGCCGAAAACCAATCAGAAATCCATTTGGTATTTCATGAGAAGCAGAAGAAACCAATTAAATGATTTCAAAACCAAAATCTAAACTAAATGACCGACTTCCTTTTAAACTAAATAATGAGTTAGAAATAACAACATCTGATTAAGCTAATTATACGACTAGAAAAATCAGAAAACTTAAATGTCATAAATAACAAATAAGCACGGCGAGTGAATAATCTAAACAAAAATCAGAAAACAACATTCAAAAATTTGAAAGAAAAAACTGAGAAAGCAAACAGAACAAAATACGAGCATGGACCAATCGAGAAAGGAAAACCTAGATTCAAACCTTGACCAATTTCCAGTCTATTTAGAGAGAAGTAGAAGAAGAGAAGAGGAATAGGAGGTGAAATAACAAAAGTGGACAGAAAAATAAAGAAAACTTACCAACTAAATTTGAAACCAACACTGGATATCTCGGTTTAACACAACCAGTGTTAATCACTTGTTCTTTGCCAAGAACAAACGACCAACACTGCTTTATGTCAAATTAACCCTTGAAAACTCGAAAATTCGGGAGCCTAAGGTCATGCATGCCACAGATTCAAGAAATTCTGATTTTGGGCTTCTAAAACTTCAAACTCCGATTCAAGATTCGACGAAAGATAGGGTGATTCGAGGGAAAACACATGGGGATTTGGAGTGAGGGAGCCCTGGAGGTTCTCCGGTGTTAGTTTGGGGTTGAACAGAGGTGGCGCCGCCACCGGAGAGAATAAGGGCGGCGCTAGGGTTTCGATCTTTGATCTGAAATTCGAGATGTTCTGGAAGGATTTGAAAGGAGTTGTTTGGGGATTTGGGATGTGGAGGTGGAGAAGATTGTGGGGTGTTATTTTCAGGGTGGTTGGTAGTGGCGCCACCATTGGATGCTATGGTGGATTCATAGACGGCGTCTCTAGGATTAGGGCTCTAGGTTGAGAAAGACGAAGAGGTGGAGGGATTCTGAGGGGGGTAGGGTCCGTTTCGGACATATATATACTAACAGGAAACCAGTTCCTGTCCGTTGGATTGGGAACTATCAATGGCTCAGATCAAGCTTGACGAAACGACGTCGTTTTGGCTTTAAGGTGGGGCAGACCGGGTTAGGGGACGGGTCTGGGCTGGGTTTACATGGGTTTGGGAAGAAAAAATGATTTGGGCTGGGGAATTTAATTAGTTTGGCCTAAAAATTTGACCCTTTTCCATTCTTTCCTTCTCTTTTTTTTTTCAATTCATTTTTCCTTTACATTTCTTTTTTTTTTCAAAAATTAAAATTAAAAACTTAAATTAAATCCTAAAACTAAATTAATCTATCAAAAATACTAACTAATTCTTAATAATAACTAACACGACCAATTAAAACTAAATTTAAAAAAAACTACCTGAAAATCAAAAATTAAAATTAAAGGGTGCAAAATGACTATTTTTGTGATTTTCCTTTTTATAAAACAACTTAATTCCTAAATAATTCTTAAAATGAAAAATTAACTCCTAAATGCACCTGCAACACATTTTTTATATTTTTCACTAATTAAAATGCACAAACCAAAACGCGAAAAATTAACAGAAAATGCCACAAAAACCCACAAAATTGCAAACAATGGAAAAATTATTTTTTGTTTTGAATTTGTGGGAGTAATTCATATATAGGGCAAAAATCACGTGCTCACAAGTAGTACGTGAATTGATTTGAAGTTGTCGAAGAACTTCCAACATATTCAACATGACTTTGAACTGAAGGTGCGATCTCTTCAATATTCTGCGCTTGTACATCCACTAATTGTAACTGATCAAACGCATTATTATGTTCGGATGATGCGAATTGATTGGAAGGACACAAATCGTGAAAGCCTATCCCTTGATCCTCTGAAGAACTTGTAACATAGTCAAGCTCATGTTCTTGAGTTGTCGAAAGCATGGTATTCATAACATCAACAACGTTGTTTCCACTGTCCGCTATTTCCATATGATCTCCTAATTCCTTATGATCATTAGCATGTACAGATTTACGCTTAATGCAGCACAAAACATAGTCCTCATGCTGAATTATATTTCGTTGTCTTAACACCTTTAGTATGCTGTCATTAAGACTATACTCTTTCATATTCCAAACAATATTTTTAATTTCTTGATCGACACTTTTCTCCGTGCGGCTGTCTTTTTCAAGATATCGAAAACTTTTCTTGAACCCAACCAACTTTGACCCTTTAAAAACTGGTTTGTGTTTGTCAAGTCCTTTCCAACAGCCTCCTCCGATCAGCCCTCGACTGAACCTTGAACCACCCGTTTTTGTTCTCTTCAACTTAGTAAAGAAATAGTTTACCTTTGTATCATCTCCCAGAAAATTGTTTTCGAATATATCCGATGGCTTCTTTTTTCCGTAAAGATTCTCAACTCGAATATGATCAAACGAGAAACTCTTGCACGAAACGAATTTGAGTAGATAGCGAATAAGCTCTTCATCAGTGGGTCGAAACCTGAATCCCAGTACTGGATATGGACCATAATTATGGCTGCTGATAGTCATGTTTTTTGTTTTCAGTGGAAGAAATTAGCCTGAAAACAAAAAGGAAATACTTTCAAGAACGCTCTTCAAGAATGGTACTGAACAAAGGGACTGCTGAAGGTTTAATGTAATGTAATAAAGTTGTTGCCTATTGGTACTACTTATATAGGTAGGGTTGAGCCCTACGCGGGAAGCAACAGAAAGCCGACGTTAGGAAGAATTAGGAAATTTTCAATTCCACAGTTCTAGACATTTGTAATAAACACCCCTATAATATTTCTTATTTGTAAATGTAATGTTCCTTATATTTCAAAATTATATACTAAAATCACCTATATAATGAAAACGCAAATACTGAAAAACTTTTACGTTTATTTCTCTTTTATAAGCTTCATAGAATTTAATATGTATGAATTTTTAATTTATTTCGTTTTGAATGTGTGACTTCAGTTTATCTAATCTACTTGATTACACATATTACACCCCTTATATTTCAAATTTAAATACTTAAGCCCCCTTCCCTAATGAAAATATTAATATAAGTTAATGTTTGAGTATATGATTTTGTTGTACAAGCTAGGATTAAGTGGCCGATTTTGAAATATATTCCCATAGTTGGTTATGTTATAGGGGTATTCAATGTGATACTCTAATTATTTTAACTGTGAATTGTTTTCTTTGATTTGTAAACAACAGACAATTAAAATAAAAACCATCTTTAAATTGCGAGATATGAGCCTCCGAAGTCAGACCTATGCAATAGAGATTTCCTTCTTTGCGCACGCGAGGATCTCTTTGCGAACGCGTAGAACAAAGTCCCTGGAGCCAAATCCTTTTCTGCGAACACGAGAGGATCCTCGTGATCGCGAAGAACAACACCAGACACCAGCATCAGCTATTGCAAAACAGCCCGAAATGATCTGAAACCACCCTGAAATACACTCGAGGCCCCTGGGGCCCCGTCCAATCACACAAACCAGTCCCATAACATAACACGAACCTGCTCGAGGTCTCAAATCACATCAAACAACATCAAAATCATGAATCGCACCCCAATTCAAGCTTAATGAACTTTAAAACTTCAAACTTCTACATTCGATGTCGAAACCTATCAAATCACGTCCGACTAACCTCAAATTTTGCACACAAGTCATATTTGACATTACGGACCTACTCCAACTTTCGGAATTGGAATCCGACCACGATATCAAAAAGTCCACTTCCGGTCAAACTTCTCAAAAACCTTCAAATTTCTAACTTTTGCCAGATGACCCCAAAATGACCTACGGATCTCTGAATCCACTTCCGAATGCGCTCCCAATACCAGAATCACCATACGGAGCTATTCCCAGACTCGAAATCCCAAACGGATATCGATAACATTGAAATGCACTGCAACCCAAATTTATGAAATTCTTCCAAAATGCCAACTTCCACAATAGGCGCCGAAACCCTCACGGGTCATCCAAAATCTGATCCGGACATACGTCCAAGTCCAAAATTATCATACGAACCTATTGTAATCTTCAAATTCCGATTCCGAGATTGTTTACTAAAAAATCAAACCTTAGTCAATTGTTTCAACTTAAAGCTTCCGAAATGAGAATTTTCTTTCCAAATCAACTCCGAACTTCCCGAAATTCAATTTCGGCCATGTGTGCAAGTCATAATGACTGAAGTGAAGCTACTCATAGTCTCAAACTGCCGGACGACGCGCTAGATCTCAAAACGACCGGTCGGGTCGTTACATTCTCTCCCACTTAAACATACGTTTGTCTTCGAACGTGCTGAGAACTGCACTGGAGTAGTCTAAAATTACTGTTTAACACCTCGTGCACCTATCCGTGCTACCACAATTCAGTCGAGCACATTAGCTCGATCAAATCTGAAGATATCCTCTTTCATTTAGGCAAATAAGCCTTAGAGCCTAGTTCCAACATTCGAAATTCTCTGCCAAGCCTGCTTTCAACATGTGAATGTCGTATCAATCACCACACGTTGTACTAGAACATGATTGAATACCCTTGATGAATTCACACCATGCACCACATCATTCACAAGACCATAATAACACTCTTTGATCATAATAACCTATATTTTCTGAATCTGATGCTCACAATGCACCCCATGACATATATAAGTCCTTTTCCAACTCTCGCAATGCTGCCACGACGGAAGAGATGTGTAGAAATTCATAACCAACTACCGAGTCAACAATCGTTGAGTCTATACTCCTGACAAGAACCATTACCTCATTATGAACTAAATAATGGTACTTGATCTTTGACATACTTCATATAAATCCGATCGCAATCTGACGTTTAGTGGCGACAAGAGTCGCTACTAAATCATGCAAAGTCGCTACTATACACTTTTAGTGGCGACTTTCTGGTCGCTCCATGTATTACCATTACCAAATGTTTTTTGTGACGACAACTGAAAGTTCGCCACAACAAGTGCAGTAAATACCCACCCACAAAATAGGCTTGAGGTAGGTCGCCACTGATGAACGACTTTTAGTAGCGTTGGCAGTCGCCGCAAAAGGAATTATACTTTAAGTGGCAGCTCTTGTCACTACAATAACATTTGGTTTAGTAGCAATATTGGTCGCCACAAACAGTAATTATTTTGTAGCAAAGTTTGGTCTCCCCTAAAACCTATTTTTTCCAACAGAATTTAATTTTTTAAAAATAATTAAGCAGCAACAATATTTTTAATAATATTACACAAGTGTATTAAAGCAACTCATTAATGTAAGAAGAGATATATCTCTTATCAAACAAAAAGATCAACAAACTTTTTATTAAAATTCAGAACATATAGGAATTGTCCATACACATGAAATGCCCCGGAAAAAAAAACAAGTCAGAGAAAAAAAGAGAGAACAACAACTAGTGAGCCAGTGTATCAAAAGAGACGAATGTTATAAGAACTGATCTATCACGTCATTTTCATCGTACTCGAAGAAACACATTTACTAAAGAGAACTCCCTTGCAACCCAAGAGGACTGAACTAGGATTTACATTGAATCCGAATCAGTATAAAATTCCGGTGTCTTTGATTCCTGCACTTACTTTCTGTGTGTTATATTCTGCCATTATAGCTGTTAGGTTATTGCATCTAGTCGACTAATTGAAAAGTCAGTCAACTAATAGAGATTAAGATTAAATATATAATTCACCCCCTACTTTCATAAAGTAGACTTATTGACTTGGTATGATGTTGATGCACTATTGAGTTGATTACTTAGAAGGAGATTTGTGCTTTAATTGCTTGAGTACAAGCAATAGTTTAAATTTTGGGGTTTGGTATTTTACCAACTTATCTCGTCTTTAATCTTAGATTTTTGCTATGTTTGATTGATAAAATAGTGTGTTTAATGTCGTTTACTTCCACTTTATAAGTTTTATGTGATTTAAAAATAATTGGGAAGAAACCAAATGAAATAAGTCAAAAAGGAGCTAAAATGAAAATAAAAACAATGATTTACCCTTCGAGATTGCGAAGGAGGATCGCGAACACGATAGTCAGCTGATCAACGAACCTTTCGCGAGAACGCGATGATCAGAAAATCTCTTCTTCGCGAACGCGAGGCCTTGACCTCGAACACGAAGAAGAACTAGGCAGAAAAACTGGGCAGATTTGAAAATTTATATTTTTTTTTCCAAACCATTTAATACTCGACACAACTTATTTGGAAGAGATCTTTGGCATTCTTTGACTAGAGAATACAAGTCTTGGAGCTAGGGTTCTTGCACACACTTGGGACTTGAAGATTTGAATCTTTAGTTGAGATTTTCTTACCCATTTTACTCATTTTTTCGTTTTCTTGCTTTGTATTTAATATCTAAGTGTGTAATATTTATTTCAACACTTCAATGTTGTTTATGAGAATATTCATTATTAAAGTGTGGACTAAATCGCTTGTTGTACTTTTGTATTGAATGATTTTCATTAAATATTTTATGAGTTATTGTTTCTTTAATTATTCTTGTTCTTTAATGTTTCCAAATGGATTAGCTAACCCTAAGACTCACCCATTAACTTCGAATTAATCTTGGAAAAGATAATTTGTGGTTGGGAAAGATTAATTAACAAGAACTTGAGGCGTTAACCCTCATTTTATAGATTCTACCTAGGGATAGGATTGAACTACTTGTAGCTACATTTAGTGCACTTAATCTCTTAATTCTTTTAGGGATAATTCAATTAGGAAGGCTTGTTAGTCTTCGAAAGAAGCTAATAAAGTATTAATATCCGAGTCTAATTAATTTAAACTCGCTCATATTTGTAAAATCGTTAAATACATTGGATCGTTACTTGAGTGTAATTCCCCGTGTATCCATGCTTGTAGCCATTGATCATTTTACTTGCTTTCTAGGTTAGTTTATATTTTTGCATTTAGACATAATATTTTTTCAAAACCCTTTTAAATGTTTGGCTAACCATAATAAGCGATAGTTCTCTTACATTGTCTAATAGCCTACATGTTGTTCTGTGGGATTCGACCCCGACTTATAGTTGGGTATATTATATTGCATATGACCATTTCCGCTTACTTTTTAGTAGTGGATTGGATGTCATAAAAAATTCACACATAATTTAGTTACTTAAACGGGACAAATTATTATTATTTTTGTTTAATAATTTTGATGTTATAGTGAATAAAATTTAGCGGTCGTGTGTCATATTAACCTAATTTTTGGTGACTGTAGTTCAGGAATGTCAAAAAAAGGGCTAGCTCATTTACAGTGTCACAAACAGAACTATCTACTTCATAATGTAGTTTTTAACACAAGTTATGTACAGATAATAAAGCTTGAAGCAGCTTCCAAATGGAGCATATGCACACACAAGGCATGCTTCTTTAGCACATTTACATAATCAAGTAAAATTTAACAATTCACTTGACATATCAAATAGTAATAAAGATTAAGCCTTTGATTTGGCTATACATAATGTATATACTTAAGCAGTTGGATAAGAGGCATCCATGGCAATCCCACATAGCCCTTCTTTAGCATCAATGTCACGTTCCATCCTTATATATCCATTTTCACCCCAACTACTACCCCAAGAGTTCTTAATCAACCAATATTTAGTACCATCTTCAGCTTTTCCATATCCGACTGCTGTAACACCATGATCTAACTCCGTCCCACACGTTCCTGTAAAAACTCCACTCGTGTAGAATTGGAAGGAAAAGTCACTGGCGTCAATTGACACTGAAATTGGCTGATTTGCCACAGCATTGAGGAGTGCTTTCTCATTGTATTTGGGTACTTTTTCGTAGCCTTTGATATCTGCTACATGGGAAGATTCCTTTTTGGTGTTGCATTTTTCGTCAGCAGCTTTGTATGGGTAAGTTGTTTCAGTTGTTAAGCCTTTGTTTTTCACTATGAATTCGAATGCATCTTCCATGTAACCGCCTTCACATCCTTGATCTTCACTATTTCTGTCACAGTCCATCAATTCTTGTTCTGATAGCGAGATCAACTTTCCTGTCGAGAGTTTGGTAATCCCCTCTGTTGCCGCTATTGCAGAAAATGCCCAACAGCTCCCTGTTTGTTTGTAATAGAAAAAATGTTAGAGGACCACAAATTAACGATATTAATGTGAACTGATAGTGTCGCGTCACCTAAAAGATAATTACATGTACTTCTCAATAATAAGTGGAACTAGTAATCTGAAAAATAAAGGTAAGCAACTTGATATAACATGTTAGATTATATTGTCAGTGTATATAAATTAGATCTTTCATCGTTATAAAAATGTAAGGTTAGACCACTTACCACATTGTCCTTGATCCTTAATTGGTGTGACTGCACCCTTTATTCTCCAATCCATAGTTGTTGGAATTGCTGTCACATTTTCATATCTGAATGAGGTAATTTTTGGTTCACAAAATGGAATCTTCAGGCCATTTCGAGCTGCTCTAAATTCCTCATTAGTTAAATCTGCAAATGCATTGATTCCCAACTTATAAGGCTGGTTTGCTGCATCATTAAAAGCTTCAATTCGCTCTGCATTTTTCTTGAATATCTTGAAATGACTATCTTTTTCAGCATTGTTTTTATATACACGTCCATATTGAATCATCCATTGCTCATATTTTAGCATCAGGGGTTCATCAACAAGTGTTCTTGCTGTAGTTTTAGAAGCCCATATTCCAAGAATTGCAAAAAGAAGAATTAGGAACTTCATATTAAAGAAATTATTTATAAAGAAGTTAATTGTAAGCTGTAGGTAGTGGTGTATATGTTCCTTTGGAGATACTGGTATATATATATATATTCTTGAATTTGTATTTGCTTCTAGCTGAATGAATGATCTTCCATCAGATGTATTGGTATGAAAATAGCAGTAGTTTTTCTCAGTTTGCCGAGCCAAATATTGTGATTTGGACTAGCTAGTTCTTTGCCGTGGATGCTTGTTTGTTTAGTAATTTTACTCCAACAGTAAAAGATTCATAATTTGTTCTGCTTAATCGCTTCGACTCTTGTTTTATGTGTTTATCTCTTGGGTAGATGAAGATCTAATATATTATTTTTTTTATAGCTACGCATAGGTTAGAAGGATGTTTTGTCTCGAACTCAACCACTAAGCCACTCTTCTTTTTATTTACTATATATCTGTTGCATAGAAACATAAGGAAAAGAATATGTATGATTGAGGAAGCCGGCACACAAAAACCTTTTGTTGTATAATAAAGATTGTAATAAATAAAGATACTGACGCTAAGTTGAGCAGAGATCCAAAAAGTTTTAATAGAAAAAAGCCAAAACATAAGCAATTACTCATATTAGCCCAGCAGATGATGTTTGTACCCATGGGAAACAGAAACAAACTGAAGAAACATTAAACTATGATAATGACTAGAAAAATGGCAAATGTAGCAGCAGAACAAAGACATGAGGTGATGAGATGAATCTGAGTCAAGATTTGACAATATAATTTTGGCGTCTGATGGGGTTCATAACCACGGGAGGACCAGCAGTACGAGGCCACGCCTGGAATTTTTTGTCCGTCTCTTTCCACCATTCATCGGTAGCAACGGTCTTTGGAGCAGTACCTGTTTTCAATTAAATGACACAAAATAACTATAGTGTATGTCTCAATCCCAAGCGATCCATGTTGATCCATTTAAGTCAGTCTTGGATCATGCTCTAGCTCTAGAAATTCTTCACATTTAATTAAAGGGCTAAACAGATAGAGGAATAGAAACTTGCCTCCAAACAACTTATGGTCAGAAGTAGCAGTGTCACAAACGTATGCAAATGCAAAGGATGCAACCACAGAACCAACTATGTACTTCAGTGCCATTATATTGTCAAACACCAACAACTGCAACATAACCAAAAAACCAATAAGACTCCAAATGCATTGATCCCCTTTACTAGAAAGTTACCCGGCGTAAATAAGGTAAAATTATTATTTTTATACATATATACAATTTGAATACCCTTAACATTTTTGGACATTTTAAAAATCCCCTTATCAGAATCTTGGCTCCGCCATTGGGGACAATAGTATAGATCCTTTGTATATCTATTTTGCACAATTTATTACAACCAAAAATGAACTTTCTTTCGATTTTAAGCAGCTTTAGCAAATTAAACACAATACTAATAAGATCTCATGAAGAAACTAGCCATAGGCCCATAACTAACGTTGTGAAAAGCAGTGGTAGATGGAGTTTTTGTGCAATGAGCTTAACAGAACTCAGTATTTTTTGGTATTATAGATACGTATGTGAAAAACTACTAAAATTTTGACAATTATTAAGTATAATTCCAAAAATATAATGAGTTTCAATGCGAATAATCTTAAAAGATTAAATTTAAATCACCCTTGCTGAAAAGAGGCAAATAACTTGCATGCCAACTACTCATATGTGACACGCCCGTGCGCGCACACACAGCAAATCATCCTGTTCTACCGTTTCCATGCATGTATAGTAGTAACAAACAGATAACAGAAGGAGGGGGTAAGGGGCAACTTACTGCGATGAAGTGATTAATCGGAATAGAGGAAAAGTCCCAACAATAATGATCTTCTTCTTTGTAAAAAACAAAAGCTAAGGAGAAACTTTTGAAAAGTAGTTGCCTGGTGGAAACGTTCAACGTCGTTAAGCTTTTTTCTGCCCTATTTTCGCCATATGGCGGAAGATATGGGCGATTTGCAGTTGTACCTTATTTTTATGTCACCTTTTAACCTATACCTTATTTTTAAAAACTATTGATTTCGTAACCAACTAACAAAAAATCCGTAATAATATGACCATTATATCCCTTCCAAAACATATAAAAGTTGCATCAAGCATACCCAGATTCAAATTCTAGATCTCATCCGTATCTCCTCCATCAGTCCGTCTCTCCTGAAATCGCCTCTCGCAACCAGATTCAAATTCCAAATTCAAATTCAAATACATTGTAAGTATTCAAATTCATCTCCAGAATTCAAAATAGTTTTTGAATTATATGTTTTCTGATTGATTGATTGAAGTTATTTGACGAACTTCACTGATATGCTGAATTTGCATTCTAAATCTGTTTGACGATGAATTCTAACATTCTAATCCGACAAATATGCTAAAAAATTATATTAAAACATTATATGATTGTTTTAATATTTAAAACACCTATGCACAAAAAACTTCGGCATAGGTGCTGAAGTTTTTTTGTTATTATTTAAAAGCTGAAGTTTTCCTATTACACTGGGTAAAAAAAACATCAATTAAAATTTCATAATGCACAAAAAACTTCGGCATAGGTGCTGAAGTTTTTTAGTTAATCTGTAAAAACTTCGGCTAATGGAGCTGAAGTTTTTCTCCTGCACTATGTATTTTATTATCATTTTTTGGAAAAACTTCATACAAAAAAAAATCAATTAAAATTTCATAATGCACAAAAAACTTCGGCATAAGTGCTGAAATTTTTTAGTTAATATTTAAAAACTTCAGCAAGAAGAGCTGAACTTTTCCTCCTACACTGTCTATTTTATTATTATTTTTTGAAAAAACTTCATACCAAAAAATGCTTAATATTCAGATTAGTTTTTGTTAATTCCTGCTGAAGTTATTTAGTACGTTTCTAAAATCTTCAGCACTTAAGACCTGAAGTTGTTGTCCCTGCATTCATGAATCCTTGTCATACAGCTTTTTCAAAAAAACTTCAGCTGATATGCTGAAGTTATTAAGCTTATTTCTAAAAACTTCTGCAAAGCTAAAATTTTCTGTGCAGCATTCATTAATTATGTCATACATCTTTTTCCAAAAAATTTCAGCAGAAGATGCCTAAGTGATTTAGTTCATTTGTAAAATATTCAGCATAAACAACCTAAAAATTCTTCTGTTCACTTTCTTAATACTTGCCACTAAAAATGAATCTGCAGGATGAGTTCGATTTGCATTGTTATAACTTTCAATGGGAGTTAGACCTCTGATTTCAAATACTTGGATCATGATACAAAACTTGTTCTACTTAATAAGCACATATCATTCAATACTTTCCTGAAGAAAATTAGTGAAGTTGCAAATATAGATTCAACCAGATATGCACTAAAAGTATGGTTTGATATCAAACTAAATACAAGCAAAGGAATGCTTGTAACTTCAGATGAAGAACTCAGTACCTGTATACATTTGCTTACAACTGATTCACCCTACAAGAATTGCCATTTCATCATCGAAAAAATACAACCTTCAGAATCTGCAGCATTCAAACAATCTCTTGCATATGCGATAGATTCAGAACCTTTTGAACATGAAGTAGGACAACCAATAATGGAAGTAGACAACGAGCTACAACTTTCTAACATTACAGCTGCTTCAGAATATATAATGCTGCAACAATTACCCCCTCCTCCAATAAATTCAAACCAGTTTGTCAATGACCAAGAAGAAGAAGGACAACTAATAATGCAAATTGATAACCAACACACAATCCAACAAACCTTTTTGTTACCTTCTGCAATGATAAGCAACAATGAAGATGAAGTAAACATGGAGAATATACCTATAACATCAGATAGAATTGAAGAAATTCCTGAAAGTTCTTGTGCTTCTAAGAAATCAAGAAAAAGGGTGAGGAGACAGCTGAAAGAATCTCCACCATGTAAAATACTTAAGCACAATGCGTTGCCTGAGAAAGTAAGAGTTGGATCAATTTTTGAGAACAAACAAAACATGACTAAATTTTTCTGCAGCTTGGAGATAAACCAGAAAGTTGAATTCACTGCTGTTAGATCATGTTCAAAGAGATACGAGCTGAAATGCATCGTGGACAAATGTGGTCGGAATGTATGTGCTACCAAAATAAAAAATTCCACACTATTTAGGGTGATAAAATATCATAACATCCATGAATGCTCGGTTGATGCAAGAAAATTAGATCAGAAGCATACTACATCAAATTTTATAAGTGAACAAATTATAGAACATGTTCGAGATAAAAAGATAGAGGTTACACCAGCTTTTGTAGAAAATGAAATGAAAAAAAAATTTGGAATTGACATTGGTTATCACAAGGCATGACGTGCTATTCAAAAAGTTGTTGCTTGCATAAGGGGGTCACCTGAAGAGAACTACCATATTCTTCCTTCATATATATACATGATGGTGTGCAAAAACCCAGGAACGTACACAAGCATAAAAAGAGATGCGCATAATAGGTAACCATCAGCCTGAAGTTTCAAATGTTCCTATTTGAAAAATTTCACACCTTATGATTTGTTTTTTTGTGTTTCACTGTACAGATTTGCTTACATGTTCTTTGCTCCTACGACATCAGTAGCTAGTTGGTCCTACTGTAGACCCGTTATTGCAGTAGATGCAACATTTTTAAAGTCCAAATATCGTGGTGTTCTATTTGTTGCTGTATCAAAGGATGCAAACAATCAAATATTTCCTCTATGTTTTGGTGTAGCAGAATTAGAAAACAATGAGGCATACATTTGGTTCTTCAGGGAAATGAGAAAAGCAATTCAAGTCCATCGTGAATTGGTTTTCTTGTCAGATAGAAACCAATCGATTGCAAATGGAATTAGAAAAGTTTTTCCTGAAGCTCACCATGGTATCTGCCTCTATCACTTTGAGAAAAATTTAAAGCAAAGACATGCAAAAGCCACAGTAATAAATCTTTTTCAAAGTGTTGCAAGGTCATACAAACGTGAAGATTTTAATTAGTTAATGTCCCAACTCAAAAGTATTGATAAGAAAACATACAATTACATAATGGAAGAGCCTCCAGAGAGATGGGCTCGATCGTGGTTCCCACGGCAACGTTATGATATGCTAACAACAAACATGGTAGAATCAATGAATTCCGTTTTACTAAAAAGGAGAGAAATGCCTATTTTAAGAATGTTAGATTTCATCCAAGAAAAGTTAGGAGAGTGGTTTTACGAACGAAGAAAAAAGGCAAATGAAATTTTTCATAGAGTATCAATATGGGCAGAAGAAGAGATGACTAAGAAGATGGACTTGGCTTGTAAAATATTTGTGAGTATGTTTATTAACTTCATCTTTTTATATCTGTTGTAGTGATTTACTGCTTACATTTAAAAAATTTCATACTTTTTCTTTTTGAAGCAACAATACACTAATATAGTTTGTCTTAATTTTTTATTCCTTGTTAGGTGTTCAACCTTGATTCAATGTTGTTTAGAATAAATAGTGAAGGAATCGAATTTATTGTGGACTTAAAGAAGAGAACTTGTGACTGCCTGGAATTCCAACTTGATGAATTGCCCTGTCCACATGCAATTGCTGCTATTAATAAGAGATATCTGCAGAAATCTGATTACTGCTCAAATTGGTATTCAAAGGAAACATGGTTGAAAACATATGAAGGACATGTGAATACCGTGGGAGATAAAAAATCATGGGATATACCACAAAATGTACAATCTGAGATCACAAAATCTCCCGATGTAGAGATTTTACAAGGAAGAAGACAAAAAAGAGGCATATACCTGTGACTGAATCAGTACCATTCAAGTCTACCAAATGCAGTCGATGTAAACAAGTTGGGCATAACAGAACATCTTGCTTGTCTTCTCCAGCACCTCATCCATATTCAAAGAAACACACTGAAAAATACTCCAACCTTCAATAGTCCTTTGTCTGAATTTAGACTTTTATTATTGTATGACATATTTGAAATGTGATTTTTTTAATAGGAATAAAAAAATAAGAAGCTCTTGGACTATTTTATATACTGCTAAAGTACAAATCACTTATTTTTATTGCACAGACTTACAGGTTTAGTTGCATTTTAAAAAAGTACGCAATGACTTCTGCGAGAAAAAACTTTAGGTTATGTGAAATACATATCCTTAACACAAACACACACACACATACACACACTCTCACACACATACACATACGCGTATAACACACAAAAGAAAGGCATGTACAAACAAAATCTTCAGCATCTCTAAGCTGAAACTTCAGCATATTCATTAATGAATATGCTGAAGTAAACAAAAAAGCACATCATAAAAACATAAAAAAGAATTACAAAAACTAAACATAAAAACCAACTAAGAAATATAAAGCAAATACCAACAAATAACAAGGATAGTGCAATAGAAAGGTAAGAAGAAAAAGGATGAGAATTACATTGATACAAAAAGAGATGAGAACAACATACAAAGTACAAACAAAAACATCAGCTCTCAGGGCTGAAGTTATACAAAATGAACTTAAAAACTTCAGCTCTCTGGGCTGAAGTAAACAAAAAAATACAACATTAAGACATAAAAAAAGGATTACAAACACTAACAATCACCACCACCACCACCATCATCATCATCACAGTACTCCTCAATTTCTCTAAATATCTCTTCATCATCAGTATCGGAGATAACTATAGGGTAGTCGGGCAAAAGACCACTGACTCCAAGGAGATCAATCTTCAACTTGTCGAATTCATCACGCAGCTGACTTTGTTCGACGATTACTCTGTCCATAAGAGAAAGAAGAGTCTTCAGGTTGTTTTGCAGCTTGGAATAGTCGTTCCATCTGGGAAACTGAAAACTATCAAACTGCTGCATAACCTTGTCGAACGAGGTTGAATAATCTCCACAACTACGTTCCAGGTTAAGCCTGTTCTGGAATGATTCATTGGCAAAGAACTGTGGCCTGATTCTCTC